CTACTCAAAGTTATTCTCCCTCTACTTCAAATTTTCAGGAGAACCCTGGCAATTGGCTTCATTTCCAGGAGCAACTTGTCGGCCTTTGACCTCGTTTGCAGCAAAGCAAAGTGCACAAAATTGTAGGGACGATATTGCTACCGTTGGAAACGAGCAAAGTCGCAACACCGTAATTTTAAGGCTAAAGCTTCGTCACCAAAGCTAACTCGACTGACAATCGCGCAGTATTCAGAGAGAATGCAGGGGTTGGGGGGCGGGGGGAAGGGAGCGGGTATTTTCGCGAGGGACGTTGTAATTTTGATTCTCATACCTCACATCAGATTTTCGGGCCAGAATTCCAGCTGACAGTTCACCGCGTTTGCTTCTGTACAGTAATGGGCACGGAGCTTTGTTTAACTCGCAAAACTGTTCGAATTCATCCGCCAACGAAGAAGGAAGAATGGCTAGATTTGCTTGAAGATAACCCATACAGTATCCAGAAGTTGACGAACCCTCGAGCTCTGGGTTCGTTCGAAACTCATATCTTGCTTCTGACGGTGTCCATTTTCTGAGAGGAGCAACCCGTTTAGAGGACATCTTCTCGCCGAACCTTCTAACGTAACATGACCTCAGGAGGTTCCACAGTTGTTCAGCTACCCTTGATATCATGTTTCGTAGACTTGTGCTAAACATGTGATCAATATTACAGCACGTGACCTCTCGTGGAGCCGTCACGCTAAGTCGCAACTCAGTGACAAAACTTATGTCACTTCACGTCCTAAATGGGATTGCCAGTCCCGTTTTCTGCAATACAGCGCCTTCCTTTAGCGAAAAGAAATAAGATTACAAGCACCGCCATGGCAGCACTACACTTGACTGCATCACGGTCATGTCGAGGCCGCATTCAAGCCAACTTGGTCGTGGTTCCAGCAGCAAACAGTGAACAGTTCGAGAGGTTTTGTGAGTTGAACAAGGGAACATGTCCTTTACTTTACCACAGTAAGCCTGGGGAAGTAACAGCGGCCAGTCTTGCCATTGATACAGACATTAGGTATGTAGAATTAATACGAATTAATTAGGTATGTAGAATTACTAGTAATTGATTGTAATATTCCTTAATCAAAAGAAACAAATACTAATCCTTCTGAATATTAAGTTTAATCCGATATAGCATCTTCCAAGAACGTGATGTTTTACAAACTTTTAGTCCGACAAGCCTTTTCGGTTTATAATAGAGCACGTTTGAATTTCCAAGCTTTTGCGTTGTGTGACAGAAAATGGCGGCCCGCGCGAAAAAGCAGTCACGCCCGAGTTACGGAGGAGCAGTCCGTATACGGGCTCTTGAATAAGAACTTTTCGTTTTGATAGCAGAACTCAATGACAGATGTGTCTTTTACCTTACGGCCGCCATATATATTTTCAAGACAACTGCAGAAATTCTCGCGCGCTCATTGGCTAATTTTTATTGTTACTGAGCGGACAGACGCATCAATTTATAATTTATGCGATGCGTCAACGAGCGGGAGCGGACAATTTGACAATTTGTTATCGTAAAAAAACAAATTGACGTCAGTTTTTTATGCGTCTGTCCTGTCATTGACAATGAATTTCGTCATAACATCGTCAAAGTAGTCAGCAGATCCATTCAGCTATCGCCGCGCTGGATCCACAGCTACTTTGATAATGTTACGACGAAATAATTCATGATCAATAACGGGAGAGACGCATGAAAAGCTGACGTCATTTGTTAATATTTTCTATGTTTTTTTGAGGGGCTGGGGGGTGGGGGGAGGTGGGCCACCTCATTCCCAGGGCCTTTTCCCTGGTTTGTAACTAATCTGCGATTTTGTGAAAAAACAAAACAAACAAAACAGCAACAACAACAACAACAACAACAACAATAAAAAATAAAAAAAAACTTTTGCCTGATTAACATGTACTAAGTAACGCCCGGGGATAACGTGACTTCCATCTCCTCTTCAGTTCACGGGTTCCTTGGCCTGTGGATTTCGCCAGGAGGCCATCTACTGACGAGAAACCCTGGGCAGGACTTTGTCCTTTACTTGGGTCAGCTCAGGAAAAACATAGATCTCCCCGGTTTTAGGGGGACAGCAGCATCAGCCTCTCTCCTTATTTTTCTGTACTCACTGTACAGTTAATTATGAAATAATTGATTTCATGACTCACTGAGTGCCTGCATCATCTGTAGAACCCTTCTGCCTTCCTACTTCGTTCTTAAGAACGGCCAGCAAGATAGCCGTGCAGCTGACCTCAAGCAGTTTCCCTGGAGTGACATGGTATCATTTTATATCCGATCTATAAGTTCTCACATCGAGCAAGAGCTCCTGGCTTCTGGAATTCCCGTCCAAAGCACTGAACAAAAACGGGCCGTGTCCCAGTACAAGACAAACATCCAGTGTACAGGCGTTCCACCGTTCAACTGTCCACTGGTTGTGTGTATGCATCCAATTCCTCAGCAATTATTGGAAAGGACAGTCGCCGTTACTTTGCGTTTGGGAGGCCTGTATGGAGCACCGATACATATCGGAGATCCATCTGTTATTGGGATAAGGGACATCAACAGACCAGATTATGGAGACCCGTCTGATATGGATGGATGTGTTCCCATGTTTTGGCCCTCTAGCTTAACAAGTCATTTGGCCATCAAATCTGCGGGTGAGTTTATTTTAGCGTTTTGTTCAGTTCAGGAGACGAGAACAAGAACACCCAAAGCAGTAGCCTGGGAATAGAGCCATCTCTATCGCTTCCGGCCACTTTGTTCAACGTGGTAACCACATCCGCGAACTGTCAAGGCGGCCGAAAGCTACGAGAGATGACTTTATCTGCAGGCTATCGAGAGTTCCATTCCCCTTGAGGAACGTGTAGTCGAGATGTAATTGGGAAACATGCACTGATTGGAGGAAAAGTCTTCCATCTTAAAGGGAACAAACTCCTCCGAAAAATGCGGAAAACTTTCGTTTGTGAGCTTGTTGGGAAACGGAAGTTCAGGTTCATTTGCCCGCAACTAGTACGCTATTTTTAGAATGCTTATTTGTTGGTTAGTTTGTGACCGTTATTGCCTCTAGCCTTATGGATCTAACAGAGTGGCTCGTTGTGTGCCCTCGATGTCATAACATACCTTTGTCCAGTTTTCTTATGCAACAGTTAAGCTCAAATTCGTTGTTTGTAATCCGTGCTAATCTTTTCCATCCTTCACCATCCTTGTTCGTTCATGGTTTATTATTATTTCTTTGGTGTTTTGTTATCTTAGTAAGCTACTATTTTCAGGCTTTTTTTAATTTAAAGGTGATTTTTACGCGGGCAAAATAACTCAAAATACCGTGACTGAGCTCCTTTGGATGTAGGCTTGTATAGATTGTGCTTGGCAGTTCTTTGGGAACTTCTGGCGCTGTAGCAACGTTTTGTGGAACAAACATACTCAAGCAATCTTTTTACGACCAAAGCATACAACTGTAATTTTAAAAAATTTTGATTTTTTTTAAAATTTACTTCCACACTAACAGACCAGAAAAAAAAAAAAAAAACTACTTACGATACAATGCTTACATTCCCTACATCAGTAATAGTTACACGAACAATCCTACACATAATTACGTTACATTCCTTACTTTACAGTACTTGCACCGCAGTTACAGTACAACATTTATCTACTACTTACTTGGTTACACTTACACCACTTACATTCCGGTACTTTTCCTCTCCCCCTATTGTATATGATATTATTTAGGCAAGATCAACCCCTTTTATAGTTTCTACAATACCGTCTTCGATTTCTAGGTTACTTTAAAAAACAACAACAACAAAGAAAAAAGGCTAATAATTTCACATTACTTATATTTCTACCAAAAGATAATGCTATTTATTACAATTGTTTTTTGTTGTGTTTTGTTTTTTTTTTTATATATATATAAATATATAAATATATAAATAAATGATAACTTACTCTAACGATCGACGGTAACCTCATTTGAACAAAAAGAAAAACAACCAAACGATAAAAACTAAGGAATCATGTTTGTCTTGGTTTGTTAGATATGAACAGACATGAGTGGTTCCTAATCCCTCACAAACACAACTGAACTAAAGTTGAACTTTACCAGTGGGTATTCCACCTAGCTAAGTCACTGAGCTGCCATTTTTGAGCTTCAGCTCAACTATGCGAACACTCAGTAGAAGATTACCGAAAGCAGCTGAAGAAAACAACTAAATTCACGCATTTAAGCGGCAACTACTTTTCATTTTCAGAACTGGCATCATTGTCAGAGTTTGAGCTCTCGTCATTATCTGCCGTCGTGTGAATATTTTCTTCCAAAAATTGATCGAGGAAGTTAATTCGCTCTTGTAACGTGGCCAATTCCGTTTCAAACTCATTGATAGTAGCAATCTTTAACGCATCCTCGGCTGTGTCTTTAGCCCTTTGGTAGAAACCTTGGCGATAGTATTGATCCGAGCGCGTCTTAAGAAGATGCATGCGTGATCCTAAAGGTAGGCCTTCGCCCAATACGTGCTCCACAAAGTCCAGGTGGCTTTTGGCATCTCTCATATCGTTAGGTGTAATATGTTTCTGTCGAGCTCTTGCTGCAGTTGACGTACAGTCAAGGAGTACGTTTGCAGCCCCAAGATTACAGTACGTTAGCTTCTTGATCTGAACTCTCAATCGAGGATCGTTCTTGCTGAAATCAATTGCTCGCTCGAAGTAACGCCTCGCATTTTGTCCTGCGTGTTTTCGTGCCTGCGCATGCCTCGCGTCATCCGGAATCGTACTCATGATAGCCAACCACACCAAGCCATAGTTGTAGTATAGCTCGGCCCAGTCCTCTGGTGAATTGTGGTGTTGCAACAAATCTTCACTGTGTTCCAGACATTTTAGCAAGGCTTGAATCTTCTTATCTTTGTTATACCTGTGAGTGTAATTTTCCGCCAGTAGAAAACTCGCTCTCGCAATTAAAATGGCTGGGTTTCTCAACTGGCAATAGCTGCCGAGTTCTATAACTGAGGTTAAATAGAGCTTGCTTTTCTTAAATTCTTTGTGGTACATGAACGATACCGCTCGCTCGATTACCAGAGACAGTTCCGTGTCAGCATTTTCTCTTTCTCGACAAAAACGTGAGTACATAGCGAACAAATTCTCGTTCTTGCTAAGTTTCCCATGGCTTTGGAGAACTTCAAGTTTTTTTAACACTTGCTCACATTTTGCGTCACGTACACGCTGTTGCGTTGCTCTTTGTAGTCCCATGTGAGTGCTTTTCACATCTTCGATGCATTTAAGGTATGAATTCACCAAACGCTTATGTTGTTCAAACTTTCCATTGTCCTGTAAAACCTCCAGTTGTTCCATGATTCGCTCACACTGCGGTCCGTTAAGATATCCTTGTTTCCCGATCAAAGGCAACGATAGTTCGGCATCCAAAGCTCGAGATTCACTTCTCAGAGTTTGTTCCCGTAGAGTCCACTCTTCGCGTTCCTGTGTGTCTTTGCCATCGATCTTTGCTAATATTTCGGTTCGTTCCGCAATAATTCCATCCAGAAGCTTTGTTCCACTCGTGATTTGAACCTTCCCGCTGTCAATAGAATTGGTTTGGATTTGCTCTCCCTTGCAGCAGTGATCACAAAAACTCTGATGCTGTATTGTGGTTGAATTTCCAACCACAATTGTATCACGGCCCTTGACAGTTAACGTCAGCGTGTTGTTAAACATGTTCCAGTTTGCTTCGGCAATGGGCGTGGAATTAGAATCTCTAGCCCGAATCTTAAATTGTGGAGGGGCGCATCGAAGACTCGATAGACGACCTGGATGTTGAATTTGGTTCAGTTCCACGTTTGACGCAGGCTCCCGCGGGTTCAAGTTTAACTTATTTGAATCGTTGCTAGATAACTCTAATGACATGGAGGAGCATGCGATAGTGTTTTGTTCTTCAGTGTAAAATATCCTTGGAAAACCTTCAATATCCTTGAAACTCTGAACTCCGTAAGCTTGATGACAGTCAGGTTCCGAGCAGTTGTGTTATACACGGGTCTCGTTATGTGTCATGTCGTTTCAATTAAGAGTTTCCATTGGTTCTATATCCAGCTGAAGTCCAAACAAATCTCTATTTCTGTAGTGAAGAGTAAGATAATGAAACCCCAAAATAAGTCTTGTTAACAGGTTATGTTTGTGTCGCAATTTTCTTTTAGCTTTTATATACTCAGGTAGCGAAAATGACCAAAAGCGGTTCATGTCATGGACTTTTACCCCGTCAAATAAATTCAACATCAATCTCCCAAGTTCTGCAACAGACCATTCCATGCTGCAGCGTTCCATAGATCATTATTTTTGGTGAAAACGTATGACCTTGCAGAGATCAGATTCTTTATCGAAATTCAGTACTCTTTCTCGACTTACAGTAACAATTGTTTTCCTCAAAAGGCAGTTTTTAGAAGAAATATTACAAAGAACATTCAAAACAACTGGGAAACACGTGATTAGCGTGCTTTGTTTGGTTAAAGATTGAATGGGAAAGTCCCCTGAATACTAATGAACAAGTCAAGTCAAAATGTTTTGGTACACCAAGACAATATCCCCTTGCTGATCATATTCTTTTTTTTTAACCCCACCCTTGCTTCTTGGTCGGTATTGAGGCGAAGAAAAGTTATTCTACGCTTGGTAGAAATATACGAAAAAATGAAGTTTAGTTCAGTCAGTAAGGAGAGCTTCTCGAAAGACATTCTGACTTCTCCACATTCATTGGACACTCTCACCATTTATCCATCTACACCTCAGGTACCAAGCACACCATAACTGTCTATAATCCTACCTTGTTAGACTCCCAAGATCTTGCACGAAATATTACCATTCTGGGGATACGATCTGGTTTCTACTTCAAGAGATCGACTTGCATCGATATGTAAGTCAATAGGACCTTACACGTTTTCCACTGATGAAGGCACAAGTACTTTGTTTTCGTTTTATGAAAAAAGTAAATCTGCGACAGTATCATAAAGTTAGCGCGTAACTGAGAACAAAAACGAAAGCAACGCCAATAACTTCGTAGTAAAAACACTTGTGACAAAAATATTGATTCTTTTCTGTCATGATACTTTCCTAAGTGTTCTGTTTGCATAGAGATTTGCATATTTAAAATTTTAGACCGACCCGATACCCAGTCGGGATTGACTTTGAGGAAAGGGAAAGTCCCTGAATTAATAATGAATAATATGCAATAACTGTATTTCCAAGTAGGATTTCTTGGAATTATAATGAAATCGTCAACATGACAAAAAACACATTACCTGATCCACACGTGTTTTATTCGATATTTTATTGGTGTTTTATTACCACTTGAGAAAGGATGCCTTTTTTAACTGACAGCTGAGGTCTGAGGTCTGCAAGACCTACTGATCGCCGAAACTTTGACTAGTAGCTTACATCACAGAATCCCATCCCGACCCTCTTTCAAGTAAAGAGGTGATGGAATTTTGTTTCAAAGGAAAGATTGACTTGTAGTTCTACTTTTTCAATAGCAATGTCGACTTATCTGCTATCGTTCAAGAATACCGGAAACGTTCAGAATATGTAATGCCTGCCGCAATCTGACCTAATAAGGAACAGACCTACCTGCCTCAAAACAACACCATTAAAACAACAATACATACACTATTGTCAGCTTCAATCCAACATTTCAATATCCTGTATTCGCAGCAACAATTACTTTTTAACAAACAAAGTTTACAATCTTAGCAATCTGTTATCAAGACCTCGTTTACTTTCTAAAGAACAACACAGTCAAACGAATAACAGTACATAGATTATTGGCATTTCGTTTCAGGTGGCGAAGGTTATGTTGCGAATGCCAAGACTCAACAGGCCGTTCTAGGCAAACTTCACAAGTTTATTAAGATCACAAGGTTCGCTTTCCTCTCTCGCTCTGACTGTGTACTTGTACTAAAAGGACTCAACACACGGCACTCCTTAAAACTAAGGGAAACCTAATTTGATTGGCTTACAACCTTTTCTAAACAGTTTCTTTGATCACGGAATAGTACCTGACACGCAAACTTACATGTTTTGTCGATAAGATGAAACGCGTTTACAATCTGGTGCTAATTAACTGGTAATCATCGACTGAACTAATTGAGACTGTCAGGCACGTGCTTCCGATTTCTATTATTCCTACAAGATTCCCTAAATCACGCAACTTAAAAATAGGATAAACTGTCACACAATTAAATTGGAACTTTCATGACAGGTTACACGCTACTAAACACTACGCATAAAATACCCCTAAAGGTTATCTAGTTCAGGACATAAATTATTGGCCACTTCATTTCGTTTCAGATCACCAGAAGGTGGCGAAGGTTTAAACAGATTTAAACGTATACAAGTTAAGGGTAGCAGAGGTAGCGGACTTGGAAAACAAAGTCCATTATTTTATTATTCGCATCAGAGATCCAACGGCAAATCTGCCAATTTTCAAATGATAAAGTGATGTACACTGTCAGTGGATTTGCTGCAAAATTAACTGGAAATGATCGAGTGACATAGATAAATTCGCACCCATAACAATACTTCTGAATGCCAATGAATTTGGCATTCAGAGGCAAAAGGGAAAACGTTTTGCAAGGCTTTAAGTTAGCACCCCATCTGTGACTTCATGTTTCTTGCTGAACACACTCGCCAAAAATGTTCTTGGTTACACAGAAAGACCACGTAACGAGTGGACAATTTCTCGTAAGTGCAGTTGCTGCTGTTATGAAAATCTGTATATTCTGTTGGAAAAAGTCTAAAGTATTCAATACAATGCATTGTTTCCTTCCCAGTAAACGCAAAATTCGAATAACATGGAATTATTGTTTCTTGATCTATTAGTGCGTCACATGTTCGGCTGCGGCGAAGTTTTCTCAAGGCAGCTTAGTGACGTAGATTGAGTGACCTCAAGCATAATGTTTAAACTGTTAAGGCCTGGCTTTTTTTTTTTATTCCTTTTCCGTTTCACTGCCGCTTTTTTCACAGCTGGCGTTGTTACCAGAGGTTTCAGCATCACTGTCATCGACCAGGATAATTCTTTCTTTGTACGCCATGTCTTCGCACAACTGATGGAGAAAATCGATTCGCTCTTGAAGGGAGTCTAGCTCTGTGTTAAATCCATGACGACTTGCAACTCTCAGTGCATCTTGGGCAGTTTCTTTGGCCAGTTGATACAATCCTTGACGATAGTATTGGTCAGAACGCGTCTTGAATATCTGCACGCGGGTACCTCGAGGAATGTTGCTGCCATGTTGGCGCTCCAGAATATCCAAGTGTTTTATAGCATCTTCGATATCTTGTGGGGGAATGACTTTTTTTCGAATACGAGCCACCGTCGAGGTGCAATCAAGTAATAGCGCTGCCACTCGTAGGTGACCATATATCTGTTGTTTAATCTGCACTCTCAATCTGGGATCTTTCTTGCAGCATTCAATTGTCTTTTCGAAGTAACATCTCGCCTTTCTTCGTGCGTCATTTCGCGCTTGCGCATGTCGTTCGTCATCCGGGATCGTGCTCATGTACGCCAACCAAAGAGAGCCATAGTTGTAATACACC